CCACAGTTCCCCTCTGCCAAGAGCCGCGAAGAGCAGATTGCACAATTGAAGCGCAGCGCTGGCGTCGTCTCGCAGGTCGCAGAGAAGGCAAAGAAGTGGCTGGGCGGCGGCTCTACACCAACTCCAGCTGAAAAGGCGGAAGAAGAGCCATACGACTTGTTGGTCATTGGTGGTGGCGCGACCGGAGCCGGTATTGCGCTCGACGCTGTTACAAGAGGTCTCAAGGTTGCGCTCGTTGAGCGCGACGACTTCAGCAGTGGTACCAGCAGTAAGAGCACAAAGCTGGTACACGGCGGTGTACGATACCTAGAAAAGGCTGTCTGGAACCTGGACTACAACCAGTGAGTAGCTCAAGAAAGTTATTCCTGCAATATCTAACCTGAAGCTTAGATACGCTCTCGTCGTCGAAGCTCTTCGCGAGCGTCGTTACTTCTTAGATACCGCTCCTCACCTGTCACAATGGCTGCCAATTATGATTCCTATCCAGAAGTGGTGGCAAGCGCCTTACTTCTGGGCTGGTACCAAGTTCTACGATTTCCTTGCCGGTTCAGAGAACATTGAGAGCTCATATTACATGACCAAGAGCAAGGCTCTGGACGCATTCCCCATGTTGAAGAAGGAAGGCCTTGTTGGCGCCCTGGTCTACTACGGTAAGCTTAGCAGTCACTTGATCCGTTGCAGCAACTGACTCCATCAGATGGTGCGCACAACGACTCTCGCATGAACGTTTCCATCGCAATGACTGCTGCACTATACGGCGCAACTGTCGTCAACCATCTCGAGGTCACCAGCCTCGAGAAGGATGCTAACGGTCGTCTGTGCGGAGCAAAGGCCAAGGATTGCATCGCTGAGCGCGATGGCAAGAAGGCTGAAGAGTTCTCAATCAAGGCCAAGGGTATCATCAATGCTACCGGTCCCTTCACCGACTCCATCCGCAAAATGGACGACCAAGAGGTGCCTGAAATTGTCGCCCCTAGCTCTGGTGTTCACGTCATCCTTCCTGGCTACTACAGCCCTGCAAACATGGGTCTCATCGATCCCAACACTTCTGACGGTCGTGTCATCTTCTTCCTGCCATGGCAGGGCAACACCATTGCGGGTACAACAGACACCGCTTGTGACATCAAGAGGGATCCCGTTGCTGGCGAGGAAGAGATTGACTGGATTCTCAAGGAGGTTAAGCGTTACCTTCAGCCAGAAATCAATGTTCGCCGAGGCGATGTGCTTGCTGCTTGGTCCGGTATCCGTCCTCTTGTCCGTGACCCCAACGCGAGTGCGACCGAGGGTCTTGTCCGCAACCACTTGGTCACTACCTCTCCTTCCGGTCTGATGACTTGCTCAGGTGGCAAGTGGACTACCTACCGCCAGATGGCCGAAGAGACTGTCGACGAGGCAATCAAGGAGTACAGCTTAAAGACTGAGCCGCTCGTGAACCCCACTCTCGTTAGCGGAACTGAGGTCAAGGATGAAGCTCCTCTCGACGGCACCTGCCAAACCCACCGTGTCCGACTTGTCGGTGCACACGGCTTCTCCAAGACTCTCTTCATCAACCTCATCCAGCACTACGGCATCGAGACTGACGTAGCCAAATACCTTTGCCAGGCGTACGGTGACCGTGCGTGGACTGTCGCAGCTCTTGCATCGCCCACTGAGCAGCGCTTCCCTGTCCGCGGCATTAAGATGGCTGAGCTCTACCCATACATCGACGGTGAGGTCCGCTACTGCGTCCGCCACGAATATGCTCAAACTGCTACGGACGTAATTGCGCGCCGCATGCGTCTCGCCTTCTTGAACGCCCAGGCCGCTCTCGAAGCTCTTCCCAAGGTCATTGACATCATGGGCGAGGAGCTAAAGTGGGACAACAAGCGTAAGGAGGTCGAGTGGAAGAATTCTATCACTTACCTCGGCTCCATGGGCCTGCCCAAGAACAAGCTCTCGCTCACCCGCAAGGATGTAGAGAGCGGCCACGTGGGCAAGTACACAGATGAGGACTACCACCTCTACGCTCGTCATGGTATGTCAACCTCCGATGAGGAAGCTTGTGCAAACCTCTTTGCATTTGGGATTAGGCTAAATGAATTGTTTGCAGATAAACCCGATGAGCTCCTGCAGTCGGACAGCAAGTTCCCAAGCGGCCACAACCCCGTCGTGGGCCGTGAATCCAAGGTCAACAAATAAGCGTGTAGACACGCGCCTACAGCTATAGTGTAATTGAAGGACCTGTCATATCCGATTCGTACACACCACTCGTATATTGTACCATCCTAATCGGCGCGCGGCGTATACGAGTCGACTCGACTCGACTTGCATCATGTTGGCGCTCGATACCATCCGCATGACTGGCGTCCTTTTCTCCATCGCGATCTGTATATAATCGTCTACAATTAGCGTTGCCCGAAAGAATAGAGTAAGCTCCATTCAGCTCTTAAGATGCTATGTTTTTATCGATGCATCTTCATTTTACCGAGGCATGCTGCTCTCACCGCTCGCTAGTTTCTTCAGTCTCCACACATATCCACATCCCCGCCACATCAACTGTATTTTTCGTTCCAGAGCAGTGGATACAACTCATCAGCCATGGCTGGGCTGTGTATCAGTTCAAGTCTATATTTGTTCTATTTTACAACCTTGCCATCGACCACATCTGCGATATCAACTCTTCTTCAGTAGTATAGTGGTCAGTATTTCCGCTTGTCATCCAAGTCTTCTAGGCTGCTTGACAATCCGCGGGAGACCGGGGTTCAATTCCCCGCTGGAGAGTACTACTATCGCGCTTCTTTTTTGCCGTTGCTGTGCAGGATGGGGGGTTTTTTTGGACGTGGTCGCTTTTTTTGCGTACCCAACACGTATGTATTACCGCGCCATCAGGCTTGTCCACAAATGTCTCCTGATATGTGACTGGCACTCTTATACTGCTGTCGCCTATTTTTCTGCTGCCAGTGGTGGAGGGAAGGAAATTGTTGTCTAAGACAAACGACTATACAGTCAAACTTCAAGACAAAGGAAGATCTAAGGGATATAAGGACTACTTCACGCGTAGATAGGATACTACAACTGTTACCTCAATACACTTCAGTTAGTCACACTTACAACAGAAATGGTCCGCGGAGATGCTGCTGAGGTTTCGCTCCTCAATCTTCCCTGGAGGACATGGGGCCGATATCGCGCACGGCATGAAAGATATGCATACATGAAATCGAGTCGGGAAATGATCTACTATCAGCTGCTCAGCTCTTGGTTCTCTTACTTCATTTGGTCTCTTCTGGCATTCCCTGGGTTTGCTACACGAGCAAAGGCTTTCACCCCTTCTGACTTTCCGATATGGCGTCATCTCCTTGGGTGCCTTCCTATACGACGTCAGCGCGACTGCGAGTTCGGTATGCACTCTATTGGTAAGGCGAAAGTGTTGGAAACTTGCAAGTTGAAATTCCGCGTTTTCCGTTGTGGCACATGGTTCCCCATGGATACCCTAGCGAAGCCAGAGTGTGTTCTACTCAATCGCTGCATGAGTGCTGTGGATGGTCTGTCATGCTCTGGACCGCCCAGTATACTCCAAATTGTCAAGTGGGCTGCCTATGACGATGAACTTGCATACCGGGCAATTAACATGCTCCATCAAGGAAGGCCTCGTTGGAAAATCCAAGGTTGACGTATTTGCAGTGCCACGCCACAACTCTGTAGCCCATGCTACGCTCTTACGTCGCCTCAAGCCGGCTCTTGATGGTGTCAACCTATCCAACTGTTCAGCACAACTTGATCCCTTCTCCGTCCGATTCTCTGCAGCGTGGGGGCAAGTTTCGCGAACAATAAGAACTTGCCTCGGCAGGCTGGAGGTCCTAGAGATGGTGTCAGTCAAGACTGAGGGGACAAAACTAGATCGAGATGAAATTTCATCAACCTGTTCGGAAAGACTTGGTATTTTTGGTCTCGGAGATGAAGTTGACACCGTTGCTCCATAGCGGGTTGCAAGGCCGTGAGTTGAGTGATCTCGCTATTTGAGAATCATAGAGCAACCAAGCAGAAATTCCAATTAAGGAGTCTCCTGGCGTCGCTCTCAGTGCTATGCAGTTCTACCATGTGTCTGTAAGCTGGACCACTATTCAATCGTCAAACCTGGGTTGAACGTACTACTGTAGATCATCGTCCCACACGGCTTTTCGGCGACTTCCTTTACGCCTGCCGGCAGATTCCACATGCACGCACATACTGGGGTAGATGTCGAGCCAGCGCAACTTCTACTATACCGAGGACAGCCAGTTCCCACGCCAATTACGTCTTTACAACTTCAATCTTGGCCTATAGGTGTTACAATATAGAGGCTGCCTCGGTATTTTGTCGATTATAGTAGTCGCCGCCGATCGTTCCCTATGAGCGCATGCAACATGACCATAGTAGATCGGAAATAAGTCATTCGCAATTGGGTACCTCTTTTCCCCGCAAACCACCACTCTGGATCCTTGGGGCATGGTTGGCTCTTTTTTGGAAAAGGATCGTCATGTCCAACTACTTCGGGCAAGAGGCGTGAACTAGCCGACGTGGGGCGCGAACCTTCTGTCCAGGCGCGACGCCACTTCCATTTGTAAAGCTACCCAAGGGTCTGCATCGATAGTCTCGTGCTGGTTGTCAACTTGTCAACTCCCTTTCGGACCTGGCTCCTAGGTACCTTGCATCAACCAAACTTGGGCAACACGGTCGCCGATCGACTCCGGGGTATGTCGATCATCGACTACACACTGTGCAACAAGGGGGGCAAGACAGCTCTCAACCAATGGAGAGAGGCGGATATCCAAGACTTCATGATGGCGATGTTGGGTGTGACGGCGTGAGGAACTTGCCTCGGTCCCGCTCCACATTTGTATGATCGAGGAACAAGAAGTTGGATATAGGAGAACATGGGAAATGATTATAAGTAGAAGACACATGCGACCGAAGACAGGAATCATTCTCTCAAGTCATCTTGAGTAGATCATTCCACTTCATCTCAGGATTGCTTCTTTGCAATGCATACTCTTTCTCTCGTACTTCTCCAGGCTTCGGCGGCCGTCGCCTACCCCTGGGTCTCTGGCCAGCCGGGTGTCAACTCTGGGCTCTTCAGGAACGCACGCACTGTCGAAAGACGCCAGGCCAACTGCCCTTTCAACCCTGTCCATAAGGGTGCCGCTCCATACACTGCTCCTTACACCTACACTGGGGCCAAGAACGGTGTACCTGGTAGCCAAAAGGGTGGTATCAAAGTCCCAGCAGACGGCGATACGGCTCATGCCTACACTCCTCCCGGACCTAACGATATTCGTGGACCATGCCCAGGTCTGAACGCTGCAGCTAACGTAAGTATACGATACAATAATGTGTACGATATTCTCGCTGACCAGAGATAGCACAACTTCCTTTCGCATGATGGTATAACCAACTTCCAGGAGTTGGTCGATGCCCAACAGAATGTTTATAACGTAGGCTATGACCTAGCTGTCCTTCTCGCAGTCCTTGGTATCGAGGCTGGTGGTGACGTACTCTCTGGTCGCTTGAGTATCGGTTGCGATGCTACATCTCGTACTGCGACGCTTCCTATTCTGGGCACCCAGCCCGGTCTTGATGGCCACAACAAGTTTGAGGCAGATTCGTCGCTCACGCGTAACGATTTCTTCCTCGCAGACGGGGATAACTACAGCTTTAACGGCACACTGTTCGCAGAGATGAAGGCAGTCGCTGACAAGGTTTCTGGTGGAAACTTTGATCGCAATGCTCTCGCCGCATACCGCAGCCAGCGGTACGAAGAGTCTGTTCAAGAGGTATGTAACTCCCGCCTTCAAGCCATATGTTTCCCATGCTTACAGCTAGATTTCAGAACCCCAATTTCTTCTTTGGACCCCTGTCTCTGTTGCTTTACGGAGCCGCCTCCTTCCTCTACGAACTCTTCCCCAGCTACGGCGACAAGGGCGTACCGGATCTTGCGACAATGAAGGCAAGTCCCCAAAATTTGAAACCATGCGACACATTCTGACATCGTATCCAGTCCTTCTTTGGAGCTGTCGAAGACTCGTCTGCACCAGGTGGCTGGCGTCACGTCCCCGAGCGCATTCCTGACAACTGGTTCTCGCGTGTCGAGCCCTACAAAAACATGGATGTTACCAACGAGATTCTGGCCCAGTATCTCAAGTATCCCAAGCTATTCGGAGGTAACGTGGGCACGAACAACTTCGATGCCTTGTCCACACCATTCGATATTCTTGTCGACGGCAAGCTACCCAACGATGTTACAGCGGCGCAGCTGCTTTGCTTGCTTTACCAGCTGGGTGTCATGGCTGTTCCCAGCACTCTGAGTACCGTCACTGATATCACTGGTGCCGTGCTGGATTTCGGTATCGGAAAGCTGAACCCGGTGTTCAAGAACGCTGGATGCCCCTTGAAGGTTGGCTAAACTCGAAACACAAGTTGAATTTGGAAATCGTACCTAGTTAATGGATATTACAACGCAGGCTGGGCTGGAGTAAGGATTGGTTGACCATACTTCATGATGTGGAATCGGAACATTTACGTATAACAATTAGCATGATCAATAACAATTTATTACTTATATCCCTAAAGCAATTCTGGACCCGGCGTATGTAGTGTATTGTTCCCATGCTTGTCCATAAGGCCGGCAGACTAGGCTGCTGGCCACCAAGTCATGCTCACAATGACGGAGATCGATCACAACCTCGGTACCATTGCTGCTAGTCACATTGAAACACTCAGTACATCTACAGCAATCACAGTAAGCGAAATAAATTCTATGCAAAGTCAGAGTTTGAGGACGCAAAGCGGAGTTCACCTGCATTGCCCTTCAACAAGTGCTACAAGCTTCGAAACATCATGTAGAAACAAATCAAACCGGATACCATCATTTCTCCTCTGTGTGATTGCCGTCAATGTTATGGTTTTGGAGTCAGCTAGGACCCTACCGAGACCACCCCTGATCTAAATTGGCCCATGAAACGAGTGAATCGGAAGCTCAATATTGACAAGAAAGGTGTTTTCACTCGGTACCGAAGGCAGAGCAGCGTTAGACCAACCATATTTTACAGCCAGCAAGGCTCGCCAGGTCAAATCAAAACAAAGTTGTGTCTTTACTTACACATTGGAAACAATATGACAGGTGATTCAAGCACGAGTCGCCGAATGTAGACTCAAACGTCCATGATGTTTGCACGACCGATATCGATGTTTAACTAATTGCCCATGGGATAGCGTTCGGTGAGTGTTTGGAGCTGTAGCAAGATACTAGAAAGAGAGAATGGAAGTAGAGATCGAACAACATGACCTCAGGAGGTTACATACCTTCGAATAGCCAGAACATGTGTTCGCATTCCCATGTCTCTTGTCTTATGTGACTGGCACCCGCGGTGAGTTTTTCAAAGCATAATATTTGACGATTCTGCTTAGTCGACTGATATTGCAGCGTCTTCGAAATGGTCCATATGGGCTGCCATTGTGCCTTCAACATCACAAGTCAGGTTCAGACCTGGAGCATTGTAGAACAAGAAGAGTGTAATGTGATTGTTCTATGTAAGAGGGAGAAAACCCTGAACTATATAGTAGGAAGGGAGGCGCTAGTGGAGTGAAAGGAAAGGAACACGTGATAGGTATCTAAACCAACAAGCATCTCCTTCTAGCGCCGCAGCCACCTTGCGTATAGACAAGCGTGTGTCCGCCACCCATCTATATAACGTTTGGGATTCACCCACAGAACGCTAGCATCCAGTTCGAGGCTGTAACGTCTCCGTTGTGATACAAGACTCATTTGCTTCGTATCAATCGCCCAATTTTGAGGCGAGACAGAAGAGCTTCTCCACATGGTGAAATCTTGGAATCCCCTATCAGCAGGAAGCTCGTAACGCTGTTCGATGTATCTACCGAAAAGGACTGTTTTCTGAAATCCGCGGGCTTCGTTGAAGGGGTCATTGATCTTTTGGTGGATGATGTCACCGCCGGGAATTTTGCTCGTCATTTACAGTTTTCCATGCAGGATAATGTATTGACCTCAAGAGTCGGAGATGAACGTGTTGTGGAGGATGTGACAATTGCAAAGCTTGTGCGACGCGCCTAAACTATGTTGTGTGCAGCCAACGGCAAAGACAAGACTCCACTGGGGGAGTTGGAAGTTCATATCAATATCCATGGATGAGCTACATTAGCAAGTGTCGAACTTGATCAGAATCGGGCTTCGTGTAACCATTCAGGCCGCTACGACCGACTGATGCTTCGATTCCTGTCAAAGAGATTGGGTATGCATTTCCTACGTGTCCTGATGCGAGAATTACACTCAGTGAATGAAGAGCTACGTCTACATATGGCATTGATCATTAGGGACGAGGATGGTATGTCACGGCTGGATACGGCAACGAACTGGTTTATAAAGATGCAAGAACTTGTCTGCGTGCCTTTGTTAACATGGTGATGTACCTGGGTATACATGAATTGCGGGTTTCTGGTCCAATACACTGACCATAGGAGCCAGGAGGGTACCAGAAAGGAAGGCAAATGAGGGATGGAAGTGTTTGAGGTGATTTTCCAAGGCGAGCATCTGAAAATGTGGCTGTCCGCAAAGCCTCGCAGGCACAGGATGGTGGGGAGATGGTTTACAGGGATAGTATCTACGAAGAGAGGCGAGTTGGCAAGGATCTAGAATCATAAGAGGAGAGTGTTTGGATGTACATGCGGAGAGACGTACTGCGTAGTGCATGGTCCTTAGGCTTCTCTTAATTTGATGCAGATATATGAGAGAAGACTAGCATGTCTCGTTTCTGCAACAACTGACAGCTTGCATATAGTTGTATAGCTACGAGCTCTCGCTTCAGTCAACACAATGTGACATACAGCCGAACGCCTTGACTCTCAACATCAGCTTCCCACAACATAACTGCCGATAGTCGTGTGGCTAACAGACTAGGGAAGCTCTTGCTGCATTCTGACAGCAACTAGATGCAGTCATCGGTAGAGTCGATAGTTGAAATTGACGCATCACGAAAACAGGTGAGAAATTACGCCAAAGCATTGGTTGAAACTGAGTCTTACATGCAGCCGTAGACTATTTAAAAAAGCAAGTCTGCAGAATCCTAAAGGTGATGACGAAGGTCAACAGACGAGGAATACCTGATGCTCCTTTACAAATGTCTTCATCACAGCCACGATCAAGATTGCGATTGCATGTGCCTGGTCTCATCTTGATGTATCCAATCCAGCATCCAGTAGATGTGATTTCTGGTTCGGATTGATGTCTGTGTATCGAGGTATCTCGCCATGCTTTGCTGCTGGTAATTAGCCGCACAAAGTTCTAGCGTAGTCTGCCAGTATACAGCATGTAAAGCAGATCGAGATGCTGTGCATACAAGCATCGTAGATCGCTTAGAGAAAGTATCCGTTACACGGTGATCGGCTGGACCAACGTTTGTAAACGACTACCAGGGATTTCATCCTTTACACTCATGTTCTTGGTACGCATATCGTCGACAGGGAACCCGTTGCTTAAGTCTCAACGATGACGGTGCATTGCAGGTTAACGGCAAAAGCATCTTGACACATACTAGCGTAGCACAAGCCAAGGGTGACATCCAATGCGTATGGTCGTTCAGCACATGAGCGTTCTCCCGGACTTCTAGATGACGGACACTGACGGAGATCCGATCCTACGCAAGAGTAAAAAGTTCTGAATCTAGAACGATGCGGCAAACATCGGTGCTCAGCAATCCAACATGTTTGGTAGGCTTCCTCAAGCCAAACCTGATGAACCATAGGAGCCAAAAAGCAGCGCATCCGACTTACCGTAGCGTCAACTCCTGTTCTGCGGCTTCCTCCGACAAACTGTAAGTTCTTCTCAAGCGTTGACTCCAAAAGAAAAGTCGGTCAACGATGACGAAATGCGATTTCTCGAACTGTGTGTTAGAAGTGACTAAGGCCTTCTGTGAGGACGCGCGGTCGGGCAAGACGGGTGAATGTCAAGGTTGCTTGAGGAGCATGCTGCCGAGAAGCGAACGATGAATGAAAACTCTTTTGCAGCCCAAGAGCAAGACTCGAACGTTCACCTAACACATGTGATAGGCCCCGATGCGATGGCTGTGGAGATGGATAGGTATCGCAATCGATAAGTGGATAAGGCAGGGCGCAAATTCTCGCACATGGCTGCCACGCGGAACCAGTAAGACAACGCCGAAGTTGCAGCGGGCCCACAATTCATTTCCAGCGCATGCTGACGGCTTGTGAATGCCATCATCATAAAGCCCAGAAGCTGTGGAGTTTGCAGCGTGCAGGAAAAGCGAGCGAACGACAGCTCTCGTTGAGGCGGTCCGGCAAAACAATCGCAGGAGTGTATGTCACATTGACGCTGTGACGGCTCTTCAGCCGGTCCCACGTCGCGAATCGGCGCACAGCAGGTTGAAGCTGGCGCTGGCAGGCAGTGGAGCGCACACAGCCAATCGTGAAAATGGAGAAGCAAAGTCGAACAACCAGAGCGTGTCCACAATCGCCATGCGCTGTAAGTGGCCATGAGCTCTGGCGGTCTGGCCCATCTGCTGTCAGTCCATCAAGACATGGCGCGACTCCTTGCGGTACACGTGTGTTAGATGTCCAAGACAGCTCAATCAGGGCGGCGGGTGCCTCATCTGCGGTGATGACATGTGCCCGAACGAGGCGCAGACACGCTGTGCCTGGGATGTTTCGTTTACCGGCTTCAGCTCCGGCCGTGCCCCTGGCGGAACAGGGCGCGAAGAGCTCCGCGACGCAGTGATCGTCAGGAACAGCATTGTGATTGGCTGCATGTGCCCGTCGCCATGCCACTTGCGGAAGTATGAAACCCGTCAGCTCTGCAGCCGGTGCGATATTTCGAACCTGGCCATATTTAGCTGGAAACGAGCGCATTGTCAGTGAAAGGAAAAAGAACAGAATCAGCGCACGTAGGAGCGCCCTTTGCAAGCGCGTGAACATAGAGAAAAGAAAGTCTGAAGTTCGTCCTGGTGGAGATGAGTGCCGACAATTTCGATCGAGCGGCGTCCATGGACGAATGAGTGCGGTAGCGTGGCGGCAACTCGACGAGGTCAGCGTTGTTGAGGGCGCCATGGCACGCCGTTCCACCAGCAGCCGGCCCGGAGTGGCAGGCCCCACGATGACAGAAACAGCCTAGACGGGCGTCGTGGTGAGCGGAGGATGCGATGCACAAGCGATGGCACGTTGCCAGGGGCCGGTTCTAGCGCTGTCCCTAGCGTAAAAGCCATGCGAACCCACTCTGCCCACCTTTCTTTCACTCACTAACCCACACCATCACCCACACTCTTTCTATATTTCAAGCTGCTCCCTCTTCCTGTAACACTCATTCTGCAGGCTCGAGGTCTTCTTGTTCATTCATTCACTCCCTCAAGACATTTTTGTCTACAACTGTCATTCCTGACACCAACCATTGTCAACGCGACAACCCACAACTCACTTACCACTCCTTTGAACTGCTAGTCGGTTCAGTCATTTCCTGCAAACCTCACACCAACATCTATAGCACCACTCTCTCAGCTATCCAACAATACCAACCGTCAAAATGAAGGCATCTGCTGTCCTCGCTACTCTCCTTTTCGGCTCCTACGCCGTTGCTGCGCCCTTCGACAGGCGCGCGCTCGTCTACAAGACTGAGGTCGTCACTGAGACCGTGGTTGTCTACACCACCGTCTGGGATGACGAGCCAGTTGCCCAGGCTACTACCAGTGCTGGCGAGTTCTACGAGAAACCCAGCAAGCCATCCACCACCAGCACTGCCGTACTTGCACCCACTTCTTCGGTTGTGGCCTCTCCCCCAGCTGCACCTTCAAAGGCTGCTCCTACCACCTCCAAGGCTGCCCCAGCCTACACTCCTGTTGTTCCTGAGGAGCCTTCAAGCGTCTACACTCCTGTAGAAACTCCTACTTCAGTCTACACTCCCGTTCCCACTACTCCCGCCCCAGCCCCAGAGAGCTCTTACGTAGCACCTGCTCCCAAGCCTGAGCCCACTACCACCGCAGTCACTTCTGCCGCCCCTGAGCCTGTCTACTCTCAGGCTGCTGCTCCCTCAAGCGCTGCGCCTAGCTACCCTACCACCGGCGGCACCTCCTCTGGTACGTCGTTCCAGGATGTAGAGATCACCATCTACGACAACACTGGTGCTGCTGGCGCTTGCGGTGAGGCTCTTACCGATGACATGCCTGTCGTTGCCATTGCTCAGGGCGCTTGGAACGCCCAGGGAGGAACCACGCACGACGTCATGACCGGCGCATCAACCAACCCGTGGTGCGGAAAGGAGATTGAGATTGAGTTCCAAGGCAAGACTGCCAACGCTAAGATCATGGATCTTTGCCCTGGCTGCGTGAACGAATACGACATCGATCTCTCCCATGCTGTCTGGAAGGACCTTGGCCTGACCGAGATCACCCGTTACAATGGCGTCAACTGGAAGATCGTCTAAGCGTCTACTTCAATCATACCACGATCCATATACCCAAGATTCTGATATCTCGCTAGCGCAGGCAGGGTCAGCGCTTTGCACGACCATGTTACGACTCATTTTTTACGCATCAGGCAGGGACCGGTGATTGGAGTATACGGAAGGAAAACCGTTTTGTTGCGGTTCTTGTTCAGCTTTTCTCTTCTAGATCTCGCTCTACTTGTCGCAACGCAGATCCCATGCTGTATTTGGGGATGTTTTGCTAAGCAGAGTGTCCATCCACACTCTTCTTGTCACTCGTTGATTATAGCAGGCTTGTCCAGCTTTTCTTTCGCTTCGCTGTATAAGACTTAGGGCTGGTGCATGGGACAACATCTTAGATACCCATGCAAGTTGGATACTGGAAGTTCCTAGCTACCAAAAGAAAATACATAGCGCATCGCGCAATTTCAAAATCACTCTTCTCTGTCTTCTGTGAATTGCTATACGTTTCGTATCGCTATTTGTGCAGGTTTTCATTCAGGTACATCACTTCTCACGCTTGCAATCAGGCGCCTAATACGAGGCCCTCCCTACCGATACGAGCTGAGCTATTAACGAACGCGCAAGCACTCGACTCATGCTGCCGCGGCAATATGGCTGCGCCTCATGTCTACAGCCACCGTGCGTACTTTTTCCAAAAAAGAATACGCCGAATCCTCCGAAAATACTACCTTACGCCTCAGCACCTGCTGCCATCATCCCTCTACCATACCTCATGAGTAAGTAACTCAGCCACAGCTTTAGATACAGTCCTTCTCGGACTCCATCCTCCCCCCTAAATAATAGGGGCTTACGTTCGACAGTGGAAACTGTGCCGTAAGTCACACACCAAAAACCGACTGAAGGCCCGACGTCGAAACAAAGCTTGCAGTTCGTTTCAAAATGAACCAAGCTGTGGTGTGCGACGTGTGTACCCCTTGGTAATTTCCATGAAGGGCCGGGGAAGAAAGGGTCTAGCATGGGGTGGCCGTGCTGTCGCATGCTCCACATGTTGGCTGTTTCATTTGTGAACACTATAATTCTCTTTGTGTAGCCTGGAATTTGTGAGCGTAGTGCAGTCTACCAAATCCAAGCATTGGATCTTGTGCGTCTCCAAGTCTCAGAATGTTGTGCGGGAAACTGGGGATGCCGATCATGTAGGGATATTGGGGATGAGCAATTACTGCAACTTCTCCTTTCAAAGTTCCAGTAAGAATGACATCATCATGATCATTAACCAACACCACGACGATCAACAATAAAGAATAGAGATGAAAACTGCTTGTGATGACAGCCAACAACCGAAAAAAAAGCATTACAATTCTTTTGAGAGCTTAGCCCATAACACGGATATCACAGCAACTTATCTAATATGGCGAATCGACTCTCCCATTCCCTCAATGAGATTGAATCTCACACTCCCGTCATCAAGGCGCAAGCTACCGAGAACGATGTTGCCTCCAAGAATGGCGAGCAGATTGAAGAAGGTGACCACGTGTATACGAGGATAAGGGGTGGAAGGCACGAGGGGAACGTAAGCGCTCATCGATCCGACTCCACGACTTCGTTACCCAACAATCAACAACAAGGAAAGGTTAACAAGATCGTGACGGACCAAGAGGAGGCTGATGCAGAAGATGTAAAGCATCCGCCAAAGGTACACTCTTATGGTTTGCGGAAAGAGGAGCAGAGATATTGAGATGCTGACTTGGTTGACTAGGTACTATTTACGGACCAGAAGGGGAAAGATGTAGCGCACAATCCAGGTACACTTGATGTCACAGATAGAGCCTGATGGATACTTGTTCTCTCAAGCCAAGTCGATATCAGCAGGAAGTACGGGACAGAGATGTGACTTTCCATGTATACTGGACTACAGCAAACGACCGGAATGGGAGGCAAAGCCAATTGAATTCAATACATTATGATATTCATATTGCAAATCGAACCTCCTAACTTACAAACCGTTCAGCAGCATCTGCCAGTATCACTCCTTCGCGTCTGCACAATGTTTACCCGCCGACCCAAACTTAACCTCTCAGCCCACACTCAACAGGCGCATCTTTTAACCGCCGGAAGAGCCTGCATTCCACAGCTCATGCGCTTACCTACCGGAACAGGTATTTTTATTCATGCAACCGGGTGTGAGTTTTACCAGCACTCATCCGGTGGTCAAAAGAAAGTTTTGACTCTGGTATGTGGGAAGAAGTGTGCCTTATCTGACGTATCTCACGTGTTGCGCACGTGCTAACATAGGAAAGCACGTGGAAGGCATGTGTTGGCGAGCCGAGGCTGCCAGCTGGCGAAGTGGGATGGTGGATTGCTCCGAAGAGTCTCCGAAGGGCTCCGGGTTAGCCGCGAACAAAAGGAACGACATTGTTCATGCATCTCTATTGATCGCGCGGGGGCGCTGGAGCATGTAGCCCGTGAGTGATGTTTTGGTGGGGTATTCATGATCGGCTACATGTGGAAGACAAGTAATGATGGAGGCATGCGACACGAAGCTAAGCGTGCAAATTGGAGCTTGAGAGTATGTGAATGTTGTCAATGCTTGTTGAATTTGTCTCGAATTACAAATGTGGTAATCCATTTCCCCGTACAGTGATTCTCGTACAGTCCCAGCCAAAGGGCAGCCTTCCAAATCTTCATCTCATCCCGAGTATCGATCTTGATGGGTATAGAACGAAAGTAATCCCAGTACTTGTCGCTTCATCGCTTTTGTCGCAAATTCTCGTGTCCAAACCTCATAAAGCAGATCATCGCAGTCCCTTTCCCGTGCGCCTCGAGGCGCGTGTGTGTAAGTATGTACAGCAGGTCATCCGGCACGTCCGGCTTCTATCTTAACGTCGCGTCATGATGCTTTCTGGATTTAAGCAAACGCGCTGGCACCACCGGACTCGAGCAGTTCCATCTCAGCCTGTGTCCATGACAGGTTCTGGAAGCGTGCAGGCAGCTCAGAGCGATCGAAGTACAAGCCCTTTCCTGCCTCAATGGGGCCAAGGTCCCTGCCAGATGCACCGCCAATGTGGCCGCCAACAAAGGCGCTGGGAATGTGGTTGAGCGGGCCGTGCTGTTGTGCCTTCTGTCGGTAGGATTTGAAAGATGAGGGAAGCTCGCTCATGGGAGAGGCAGGGTGGACGTGCGGGGTGTGGTCAACCTCTGAAACGCCATGTTAGATGTGCGGTCGAGCAAGATGCGACGGTTAAACGTACTCTGAGGGGTGCTGCGCTTTCCCAGAAAGCGGATCATGGGCTGGCGATGAGCGAGAGCCCTTGTTGCGTTCATTTTGTGATGAGGTGATGCGGGGGTTGCGGGTGGTAGTATCAAGTGCAGGTTGCGACGGGGCGCGAGGTAGTGAAAAGCTTGCACGGGAGTGTTGGATGGATTGCTTGCGCAAGAAGAGCGAAGAAGGCGACAAAAGTGCAGTGGACGACTTGTTGGGGAATTGGTGTTGGTGAGTGGTGGAGGGGAGCCGGAAGTGACAATGGAGATAAATCTTATTTCTGGCGGCAGCAATGCAATCGCCGAGGCCCTGAGGATTGCAAACTAATCCCACCCGCACGCCAACGGCCTCTGGCCACGCTCGAACGACTGTCAGTTCAAGTCATGCGCGCCGTGTATTTCTAAGCCATTTGCAGCAAGCCGGGCAGTTCAGCGCGGTGTTTGTGGGCCTTCCACGCAACACTTGGAGGTGTTCTTTCACTTTTCAGGCCATAGCTTCCCGTCGCGCAATCCAGGCGGCTGTCTTTTCTGCTCCCGCACCAATTAGAGACGCTGCACACGCCGCCCGCCTTATCGAACCCCACGAGCTTCTCCGCATCCTGACCAGCGGATATTGCATATTGATATTCGTTCCTCCGACTGCGGTGCGGACCCGACTTTGCTCACCATGCACGAGTTGAGCCTCTACGGCCAGGTCACCTTTGCGCGCTATGAGCAGGTGCTGAACATTCTGGCTGGGGTTGCTGCCATGCAGCCCCAACGTGTTTTCGAGCGCAACATTATCTACAAGCCTACGCGCGAGCCGGAGGAGCCCGGCTCGAATCTTGGCCGTCGCGGCGGCACCCAGACTGTCGCGCAGAAGCAGGCCAAACAAGCTGCTCCTGTTGTTCTCTACCATACCCGCCTGGTCCAGAAGCTGTCTGAAGACGACTTTGCAGCTGAAGACGGCCTGCCCGAGGAGAGCACAAAGACCTTGTCTGCTGACGTACAAGACGGAGAGGAGCCAGCATGGTCGTTTGTCTTCCGAGACGTACCGGATACTGGGGACAGAGGTGTCTCAATCCGCTTCACCAACACCACTGACTTGCTGTCTGGCGACCCACATGCTTTCATGATCGCCTCAGGGCCCAATCAGTGAGATCTTCTCTCCATGCGTGCCTTCACCTCTAACAACAGTGCAGGTTCGTGACTGAGTTCTACGTCGAAGGCTACCGTTTTGTGCACGGCAATGTCGTTATATTTCTCTACCGCATCCTCCACGAGCCCGGCATACGCAATGTCCAGAAGGCCCCCAAGGCCACACTACCGACATGGAACGGGCTGAAGCTGCTTGATCCAAGCGGTGTTTACACGCTCCAGTCTACCGTCCGCATCGAAGACTTTAACAACGCAGCTGTACTGGAGGCAGGCGTGAATGAGCTGAAGAGATTCCAGACGCAAATGAAGGGCTGTGTGAACCTGGCTTTGCCAGATCGACTTGCACTGGATCCCCGCGTCAAGTACAAAGCTCCGACAGTCCCTGCCACCCAAGCGCGACCTCGATGAAGACTGCTCTCATACTAACAGAGAGCAATGGGAAGCGGAAGGGAGGTTTTAGGCTAGGAATCGTCATGTCAGCCTCCAAAGGCTATAGAGGCAAAGTATCAAGTTCAGCTCTCTAGGAGTGTCAGCGAGTGCCAACGAACCAACATATCATGTTGGTAGAGAGACGATAAAGATCGGAACAAGTCCGTTCGCTGGGTCAGGACGCTGAGGGGTTTGGTCTTTTGCAGTGCATCTGGCTCCAGATAAGTAGGATGAGTGCCGTCTGCTGATGTGCATCATCCGGGCCAGCTTGCGTATAAACCTCCAGCGTAGATTCAAAACGGTAGGCCGTATTTTTAAGAACATTGAAAGCGTCTGTGGTGAAACGTCTGTGACCAATACGTGTATGCGATGCCCTCATGTAAGGGAAGCTTAGTTCAAGCACGTGCTAGCGCGAGGTCGCGTTCCGCGCTGCGAGGAAAGCGCAAGCGAGCAACCTCACAAACATTGCTTTGTCAACAGAGATCATCTTCCATTGCCATGCACTAGTATTGGCAACGATACAGACTGCAAAATGACTGTTCGACCCGGTTTAAGCAAGCGGCCAAGCTCCAACAGCAAAGACGTGTCGCCACCCCCGCCGAAGCGGCGGCAGCAGTCAGCCACAACAAGTTCGTCACTCGTCGCAGGGTGTGGGAATATTCGCTGACCTGAATCAGGCAAGGCAGTCGCCAATTTCTTCACACCAGCTTCGAAGAAAGAGCCAGAGAAGATGGTATGGCGGATTGTCAAAGACAGCTTGCTGGTTGGTCGCTTCAACCTAGGCGCGCAGTCAGCCACGCAGGGCAAGCGCAGAGTAGCAGCCTTTGACTTTGACTCAACCTTGATTACAACTGCGTCTGGAAAGACTTTTAGTCGTGATGCAAGCGATTGGAAGTGGTGGGATAGTAGCGTTCCAGGACGATTGAAAGAGTTGCATGCAGACGGCTTCCTTGTCGCTATCATCAGCAATCAAGGTGGCATCAGTCTGAGACCTGATCCGAAGACCGTAAAATCTGATCAGAAGCGACTGGCGGACTTCAAGACCAAGGTAACAGCAGTCTTCAACCAGCTCGACTTTCCTATATCGATATATGCTGCGACAAGTCGTGACCAGTATAGGAAGCCCAGGACCGGGATGTGGAACGAACTGCTAGAAGACTACGATATCGAGAATGCAGAATCTGTCGACCTAGAGAACTCAGTATTCGTTGGGGATGCTGGTGGTCGCGAGGCAGTGGCTGGCGGCGTAAAGGACCACTCGTGTGTCGACAGGTTCGTGAAGATCCCGAATGATGCCTTGGCAACCAGAAATAACCAAGTCTATGTAGAGATTTTGCTGCTAATCTCGGTATACCGTTCCATACGCCAGAAGAGTACTTCCGCCATGAGGATCCACGGCCATTCGTTAGGGCTTTCGAGCCGATGGCCTACATGCAAGAGCGGGCTGAAGGCTCAACAACTGCACGTAAGTATGATATCCAACCTCTCATACACCACACTTCTACAGATGTGCTAACTTTAGTTGCAGTAAACACTTTTACACCACCGGTAACCCCCGAGATCGTCATGTTCTGCGGTAGCCCCGGTTCAGGTAAATCATCGTTTTATTGGAAACATCTGCAGCCATTCGGTTACGGCCGCGTTAACCAAGACATTTTGAAGACTGTGAGTTGCTGACTGATCTGTCTCTGCGCAAATGTTGTGCAACCATTCAATACCTTGAGTAACATTTTGAAACAGCGCGAGAAGTGTGTAAAGGCTGCTACTGCACTCATCATAGAAGGCACGAGCGTAGCTATTGGTAGGTTTATGTTGATCCGGGGCTCCAATACATTCCGCATACTCAGCTAACTTGTTAAAGATAACACCAATGCCGATCCAGAAACACGAGCCGTGTGGATTACATTGGCGCAGAAGCTGAAAGTTCCCATTCGATGCGTACTCTTCACGGCCACGCCAAAGCTGTGTGAGCACAATGATACGTTCCGCGCACTGAATATTGGTCCAGAAGTAAGTTTACCCGCTAAGCAACCTCCCGTGCGTGCGTGCCGGAAGCTGCACTTTGCTCATTACTCCAAACTCACTCTCACGCTATCCGATGTGGAGATTGGTTGTGCGGGATGTCCAAGATTCTCAGAATCCCATTACTACACGGGAAACGCTCATGCTAACATCCGATGCCCACTAAAAGACGAACCGTGAATCTCGTACTATCCTGCCACACGCTGCATTCAGTGGCTTCGCTTCCAGATACCGCGAACCTAAGCTTTCGGAAGGCTTTGTAGACATAATCAAAACCAATTTCCAGGTACGTGTAACCCAAGACATTCCGCGTCGACTGGGCTACAGAGATGCAACATGGACTGACTGGAGCATGCATGGTGTAGTTTGAAGGCTCCGAGGAGCAGAGACTGCTATGGAGCAAATACTGGATCTGATCTGCAAGTATTTGGACGTGCAAGAGCGAAGCAAACGCGAAGCGTGAGGAGTGGGAGCGTTCCCGACGCCCGTGTACTGGCCGTTATGACGACTTGAATACACTTCTTCGAGCGTTCCTGCGTGGATAGAAAGTCCGAAATGCTATGATTGGGCGGAAAGAGAATGTTGGTGAGGGGCCGTCCCCCGAGCGAGGGTTCGCAGCTCTAGCCTACGCCTTTTTTCTTTTCTACGCCGTTGGGCGTATGGCTTCCAGACTAATCGAAAACGGCAGTTCGCGCACACAAATTCTTGTTTACGACCAGATTTTACTTCCTTTTCTTCCAACTTTATGTAGGAATACCATGATCTTACATTCAGATCGCTGCAATGATACTCCGTACTTCCGACATGAAGAAAGCGCGCAACAGCATTGACACGAAGAATTATTACATCATAGATTCTACAACATGGTATGCCGATTCGCTTGAAGCATCTGGCTACCCTGATCCCCGTAGATGGATTTCTGATCCGTTATTACCCCCATGCCTCATGCCCAAGCCGCGGCATTCGGCGGTCGGTGGAGTGCCACGTTAGTCTAGGAAATCATCCGGTGAAATTGAGAGATCAGCAACACCAGACCGGTCTCGACCAAATCCTGCAACAGGCCGTCGGAACGATTGCGCGCTCCTCCTTTGCAGAGCAGTTCAATTTGGAAAAATGCAGAGTGCTTGGAGGACAACGAAGCGCGCGCGCATTCCAATGTGAGCCGCCACGTGGTTCTCAGGTACACGCAAATTTTTCGGGCGCGGGAATTGCTTCTTTCGCGTCCAGTCAGCTTTAAGACTGAACTGGCTGTTCTTCATGCACGTTGAGCGTTGCCGGTCGGTGTGGATGGGTGGGCTGGCAACGGTATTCTCCCGCTTCTGCATGTCCGTGCCGCCCAGTCGACTGGCCAAGGAGACAGACGAGCGAAGAAGGCGGGGCGCCTGCCGACCTCAGACCGGAACTGACTGCTTTTTCGCCCTGTCGTCATGCTGCCAGGTCCCGGGAGCCTGGAACGGTAAGGTCTTGCTCCGATTTTTCTTCTGCTGGGCTCGATCGCATGAGGCACAGCACGGCGATCAAACCGCGCGATCCTCTTTCACCTTGCTGACACAGCATCAAGAGCCGTGAGACAGGTGACGACGAGGACACTGGAAACGATGCAAAAAGATACGGGCGGACGTTTAGATAGACAATGCGCTGGCGGTGTGAGGCTTGCTCAGCGTGCGAACAGGGAGTTTTGCCCAGCGAGAATAAGGCGCCGGGGAGAAGGAAAAGAGGATAGTGCGCCAGGGGTATGAACGCCAATCAGCAACGGCTCAACGGTCTAGCGCTTCCAACAAGTTCCCCGATTTGTCTGCAAGTTCGCTGGCTTGCTGATATTTTGGCTGGGCTGAAAGGTTGTCCCAACCTCGTCTGGGAAAGTTCCGGCATGTTGTCAGGTACCGCCCACGCGAGGTCATGTTGTCGCGCCCTGTTTCGTCTCAGCGTGATGCGATCGACCACTTGACTCGTCAATGAGGCATAATGTTTGAAACACGGACTCTACGGACCAGTCAGTGTTTTGAAGATCGTGAGGCTTTGGTGTTTGTTTGTTTTCACGGTTGCCTTTCACAGCCCCCTTGATGCATTCATGCGATTCAGAATGGGCCAATCGGTGCATGGGGGATGACACGGGACAGAAGCGGGAGAAACGACATGGACTTCGCTAGAACATGCTTGTCGATGTCACTGCTGCGAGACGGCAAAAGGCCAGAAGAACGGCGCAAGAAGTAACGTGGAAAGGTTGAAGGGCGCGGCGAACTAGGCCTGTTCCCTCGCACCGCCTGATAGACGAGTCTGTCAAGTGGCAGCCACGGTTGCGCTCACAGTAGTTGAGTGGTAGACAGCGGATGACAACCACAGCGCTGGTAGTACAGCACTTTGTAAAGGCACCGCTCAACACCACAGCTCGGCGATCGGTCAAGGCTCGTGAAGACGATGTGATCCAACGCCTGTTCCTGCATCGTGTCCTCAGAAGCTTTTCTCACGACGACAGAAAGTTTGGAGTGCGTGAGTGGGAACAGCCAGGGATAATTTGTTGCGCCTCCACCAACGACATATCGCATAATTAGGTTGGGCAGGTGAAAATTCAACACCGAGGCAGGCCCCGTACTGTTGAGTAGGGTTTGAATCAAGCCACCTGCTGTGCTCAAGCTGTAGCGACACGGACGTTGTGGTCTAAACGGCGGCTCGAAGGCTGGGGGACCTTGAAGCGACGGCGCCCTGGCGTGCTCTCTGCACGGAGACTGCCCAGGGCTGCTGTGAGTGTCACGGCCTCGTCTACCGGGCTATCTGAGTCGCGCGGAACGCAGTCGACATGCCGGAGCCGCTATGCCTAGTCAAGGTGGTTGCAAAGTTTGGCTTGAAGCCGTGCGCCTGCCCACACAGAAGTGGTCTACTATCCCACACCCGTCAACACCGCCCGTTTCTCTTGGAATTCCACGTCAGTCCTCTGCCACTCTCTCGCCATTTCAGTC